GGACGCAGGCGCTAGGGGCTCGGAGCGGAGGGCCCGGACCCGAGGTTAACGCGCTCGGGCCGCGCCCCCTCCGCCAGCGCCCCAGCCCTCCACTGAGAGCGCACGGCCGCTGGCAACCGCCGCGCCGGAAGCGGCCTGTCTTCCCCGCCCGTCGCCGGAAGTGGTCCTTCCTCGCCCGCCCGTCGCCGGAAGTGGGGAGGGCTGTCGCTCGCGCGGTAGCGTTCCGTTTTTGGGGCCTACGCCTCGGCGGTTGGCCCATGTGTGGCTCTTCGGTCCCCGCGTGCAGGGCCAGGGCTCTTCCGCCCCCGCGAGCTCCGGCCCTGCTCGTCGTCCACGCTCCTGCGGCGCGCCCCCTCCGGCCGGCCGTGCCCTCCGGGCTGGGGTCCGCGCAGCAGCCGGGTGCACGCTCCCGCCGCGCATAGCCCCATTGCTCGGAGAGCCATCCCCGAGTCCCGGCTGCGCTCGCCGCCCTGCCCCTGGTCCCAGCTGGCCAGGCTCCTCCTTCCGTTCCAAGCGGTCGGCGCGTCCGCCGGGGCTCGGCCTGAAGCCGGCTGGAAGGGGCTTGGCCGGCCACCACGCCCGGCGCCGCCGCCTCGCGGCCCCCTCCTCTGCTGGCTGGTTGTGTGCACTAGCGTGACCGCCGGGGCTGGGATTGCGGCCTCGACCACCCTCCCCGACCGTCGTGCCTAGCGGCCCTCTCAGCCCCCGGCCCCCGCATCCCCTGGGCGTGGGTCCTGCTCTGCAGCGCACTGCGTGGTCTAGGACGTCTGTGTGCCTGTCCCATCCTCAGTCTCCCTGTGCGCAGAGCAGAGCTGCTTGCTGCCTTTCCTGGGCCAGACCCTGGTACTTGGGAGGAAGTCCAAATCCGTGCCGTCCTCCTGCTTGCAGCAGTGGGAGGTGAGTGTGTCCACCCTCCACGGAACAGAACTGGGCCGGCTGTGACCTGTGGTTAAGACCACTGGAGGGGCCGGCAGGTGGCGTAGTGGCTAAGGGCGCTGGACTCCCACATGGCTGACAGCAGTTCGAGTCTCAGACCTGGCGGGTTGCTTTCTCACTTTCCTTCTCTCTCGCAGTCTATTCCTCTCTGGTCAAAATTTTTTAAATAAATAAAATTAAGTAAAATAATTCAAGAAAAAAAAAGAGGGGCCCTGCAGATGGTGTACTCGTTAAAGGCACTGGACTCCCACATGGCGGACCACGGTTCAAGTCCTGGACCTGGTGGCTTGCTTCCTCACTTTCTCCTCTCTCTGTCCCCCTCTGGTCAAATTAAAATAAATATAACTCAAAACAAAAAACACCAGACCCCACACAGCCACCTGTGCTGCCCAGGTAGCTTGAGAAATGTGAATGCCCCAGATCCCAAAAGGCGGGAGAAATGAAGCGGTATAGTGACCATGTCCTGTGGGGTGCTTTCTCACTTTCCCTCTCTAGTAAAAGTACAAAGCCTCTGGCAACTTGTAGGGGGAAAAATTGATGAGCTAAGAGGGTCAGAAATCAGAACCTGCCTGCCCATAATGGACATGCCTCCTGCACTGCCTTCTGAAGAACTAAGAACAACTCTGACACCTGTTTTTGCAACTTTTTTAATATATATTTTTATAAACAGGTCACGTGATAAAATAGCACAAGAAACACTTACCAAATATAAGGTTATATCTTCCGCATATACAGGAGAATGAAGTCGTTATGTACAATAAGAAAATGATTTTAGGAGTTGGTTGGGTTTGTTTGTTTTCTTCTCTCCCCTTAACTTCTCCTACAGTCGTTGGAAATATCACAGCTTCAGTTGCAGGAATACTTTGGGCAAATGGACAGCTACCCCCTTCTCAGAGGGCTCTGGGGAGGGCGGCTGAAGGGACGCTCCTGAGCACATCAGCCCATCTCCCCTAGGCCGACACTCCAGGGCAGGGAGATCTTTGGGCTGTTGAACTGTTTCTCTGCTTCAACAGTATCTCTCTCTCTCTCTCACTCTTCTCTCTCATTCTCTGGCTCTCTGGAAACTGGTTACTCTCTTCCAACCAGATGGGGGTGTCCCAAGATTGGGTGTGGGCACTATGTCTCCTGGGGCTCACAGTTGGGATAGAAAGGGGTCCCAGCCCCCTCCTTAGCGATCGCCAAGATGCACCAACATCCCCCAGGACTTCCAAATGTTTGGGGATTGGACAGAACGCGGTCAGAGCTCCTCTGAGCAGGCAGAAGTGTGGGAAGCTAGGGAGGGGGAAGGGGAGCCAGAGGAGCCCTCCCTCCTGGGGCATCGGGGTGCACTGGCCATTGGGAGATAGGAGCCACTGTTCGGTGGGTGCTGCTCCTGACCCCTGGCTGGGACCCCCTTGCACTCCCTCCGGAGGAGGCTGGTGCCAGGCGGCTGCAGGGCTGAGGTGCGGGCTGCCCAGCTGCTCCGGAAGGCCTGACAGCCCAAGTGCGGCTCCAACTGCTCATCTACAAGACGCCGGTCTCGCCCCTGCGCTGGGCCATAGCACAAGGTCCCAAAGACCTGTAGGCCGGGCAGGCTGAGAACGAGGACTGGGGCGGCTCCACGGCGGCAGGCGGCAGGGACGAGGGGAGGCCTCTGGTCAGGCTGGCACAGGTCAGGCAGCACCGGGGCGCTCAGCGGCCGCGACTCCGGCCGGGGGTGGCCTATTTCCCCGCACACCCCTCGGAGGGTTCCAGGGGCGGGGTAGTGGGAGATAGGAAGCCCTTGGGGCTCTTCGGGGCCCCTGTGTCCTGGGGGACCCAGCCCCCTCAATCGTCCTGGGCCCTGCCCGGGAAGGGGGCACAACTGGGGAGGCAGAGAGCGGGTGTGGCGGGGAAGGCGGTGGGGTGGCCATCTGGGAGCTCGAAGCTCCCCCAGGACCAGGCCCCGGCCCAGCGGAAATCTCCTAACTACTGATTAATCCATGAAGTGACATGTGACCCAAGTTGGCTAATCAAATAATTTGGCCTGGATTGGTAAGAGTGGAATTGGCAAAGAGAAGCTATGATTTGCT